CTGGATTTGGAGGCGCGCCACCCAACTTTGACTAAAACGACATGGACAGGGATGCATAGTTCCAACCGACATGGCGCTTGCCTGTGAGATACTCTATCCCATTCAACATGGTGGGTCAGGTCATATAGGCTCATCGACCGAGGAGCTGCAATGTCATGCCGCTTCACGGCGCACGAGCAAAAATAGTTTTGAGAGCTTAGAAGCTACGGGAAGTTACTCGTCCGCCTCACGGTGCTAAAGGCTAGCCGAAAGATGGCTGTAAGCTTGGATGTGGAAATTAACCACTTGGTTGCCGAGAAAAACCCAAATATAACAAACAGGAATGGCTGAATAAAGCATTTGAGTACGAACCAGGGCATGTTTGGGGAGTTGAGCAGCGGCTTTGGTTGAACTCCTGGGCCCCTGCTCTTCGATCTGTCCTCGTCTGACATGCTGGCACTCGCCTCGGCCAACAGCACCTTCTCACCCCCGTGCGCAAGCGGTCCCTGGTGCCGTTTAATTTTGTCCGGATCGCGACAGGGTCTCAAGATCAATGGCACCCATGCCACTTGATCAAAGCACCGGGCCTATTGTTACCGTTGGTGGGCTTGGCTTTGCGCCGCGCCGCCTGACGTCACGTGATTAATCACGAGGAGCGGCGAAGGGCCGACGGCAGTCGCGCACCTTGCTTATGAAGCGGCGACGGATGGAGCAAGGGCGGGGCGGGCACGCGGGCCGGGCCACGTGTGCTGCAGGCCGGCCGCCGCCATAAGTCACTGAAATGGGCCGCCAAGGCAGGCAGCGGTAAATGCGTCTTCTTCATGTCAGGAGCCAGGCCCTTTGACGGCAGCTCGGCGCAAAGGATCCGCCAAAAAGCTGCGATATGCGCCTGCGCTTGTGGCTGGTGACGGCCGTGTCTGCGCATGCGCTCGTCGCTGGTAACGGCCGTGTCTGCGTCGGAGCTTGCGGCTGGTGACGGCCGTGTCTGCGTGTGCACTTGTGGCTGGTGACGGTCGTGTCTGCGTCGGAGCTTGTGGCTGGTGACGGCCGCGTCTGCGTGTGCATTTGTGGCTGGTGACGGCCCTGTCTGCGTCGGTGATTGTGGCTAGTGACGGCCGTGTCTGCGTCGGTGGTTGCGGCTGGTGACGGCCGTGTCTGCGCCACGTCTCGTTCAACACGTGCTGAGGTGGGCGAACCGATTTGTCACAGCTGAAGTCCGTGTGGCTGAATGGGGAGCATTTGCGGGAGCAAAAACAATGTAAGGAGGCTGGCATGTTTCCAATGTGGCATTGGCTGCGTTCAGTGTTTGCGTCAGTTTTTGTTGCCGCTTTTTATGCGAACGCTCATCGGTGTTCACTTTTCAAGCCAGTTGTGTTTTCACAAGCGCGCAATGTGCGACGTTCATTGGATTTATCCTGTCAGGCCGGCCTCCTTCCGGGAACACATCAATTTCAAGCGGTGCAGGATTCAGGAACCAGTGGCAGTTACTCTTGCATGAAAATTCCGGATGCCTTGCTTGGAATGTCTGGGGATGGGAACGGCGCTTGAATGGGACTGACATACAGATCCATCTAATCTGACAACATTTCAAATCACAAGATCGTAAGTGCAGTATGCCGTCGAGTTTTGCACTCCATCATGCAAAGGTGGTCCTCACCACTCAAAACAGATATCCATTTGCTTTCACGACTTCAAATGCTCCGGATGCTTCATCCCCACAGGAATGTCGAGAGCAACAAACACACGCCCCAGAGCCGTGATAACACACGCAATTCGCTCCAGCATACCCAGAACCGCATTCAACTCATGCACCACCGGCAGGAATTTCCGCGTGAAGGTAGACTCCGGTCTCTCCGGTCTGTTTGCTGCTGCCTGTGGTTGGAGCTCTTGGCCCACGTCACCTCAATGGGTGCAAAGCCCTTCCCTGCCCTGAACCTCACGAGGGACACGGCAGATGACCGGACTGCACTGATCCAGTCCTCGTGGTGCGCAGCTCGTAGCCCGCCGGAGGTCAATGGGATTACAGATGGGACAACACGCTGACGTGAGAACAAAGTTCCCCGTAAGTAAAAAGCATATCGAATATCAAAATATTAGACCGGCAGACAAAAAGATGGCTGATTCTCGTTGAGACGCAGCAGAAATTGTCCAAAGCGCAGAGTTTCATTGACTCTCCCAAACGAGACAAACTCTTGTGGGGCATCACGATCTCCAACAACGGCAGAGCCGAACCAAAAATGAGAACTGCAGGGTGACTAGCCTGTCAGGCAATTGAACGAAGGGCGCTTGTTAAGTGTTGCTAGACGTTTTACTGCCAGGCGCCTCTGCTTCCGGTACGTGCTGTCAAAAGTGCACCTAATGGTGGGAGGGGGGGGGGGGGGGGACTAAACGGGCTCTAGCCATTCCCTCCCTTCATGATCGAGCGCAGTTCTTCACCACGACAGTTCTGGATATGATTTCGCAATCTGGTGATCAGGAATGATGTTAGGCTTTAAATGTCACTGATCACCCTGCGCAGTGCCAAATCGCACCCAATCGCCGAAATGTAATAACAAGACCAAGGGTATCCGAGTGGATATGCACTAAACGAAGCTGAGGCCACCATCTTCAGCGGCAGGGCAAACCAGCATTTGCTAGTCCATTCGTACGTTAGGTACCATACCTGTTAGCGTTTATAGGGTCTGTAGTCTATGCGCAGTGTAGCACTATTGTGAACGGGGCTGCGAGTTGGCCCTGAGAAGCTCTGTCCTTCCCCGGTGCTAATCCAGGCAGCCTCGGTGGCACATCTTGGCCGCGCCCCCGCGCCCTGTACTATTGATCCGCCATCGGAGGAGCCCGAACTTGCGCGACAAACTGACGTTGGATTTATCGCACCCGGCAATCTGGCAAACTTGTGTATTTTTGTTTGTACCGAGATAAACTAGTTTGAAGGAGAATGGTCTGCACCGTTGTTCCGTCATAGTTTGCAGAACGCTCGGTCATGATGGCTGCAACTTTTCCTGAAGATAGCTTTGGCACACCAGTCTATTGTTTACGAAGCCGTGGAGGGAGGGAAGGTCATACATACAGCACTGCGTTCAGCTACCAACGATTCCCGGCCTTTGCCAAATGGCCTCGTTGTTCAAATGTCCCGCTCGCATTGCCCTCGCCCAGCTGGCGGTCAGCTACCAGACCAGGCCGTTCCCCACCACACGGCTCAACTGGAGCTGAGAGCCCACCATAGTACACACCAGACATACGTCGAACATAAACAGGTCACTGCCGCTTGAGAAGGCAGACCAGTGGCAGGGGCCAGATCTCGTTAACCAGACAGTCCGCGTACTGCAGGCGCATCGGTAAAAGAGGGCGAAAGAGTGGCTGTGTACGATCTTGACAGAGCTAGCTCAACTATCAGTCTGCGTTCCGAGCTAAAAGTTTGCATGCAGATGGGGTGCAAGGTGTCAAAAGGGTAGTGGTTAGCGCTTCTGCGTTAACCACCACACGTCTGGGAAACCAGAAGTACGGGTCTTGATTCCCCACGGCACCAGCCGTTCCTGCCAGTGTGAGAGGCAGGCGACGTCACATAGTCTCAGCAGCTCAGTGCGTTGTAAAGTCCCAATGACGACGAAAGTTTGTACGCACAAAGCGGCTGGACAGAACTTTGACCGAGCCTGGCGGACTTCGCCTGGTGACTGGGGTTAACAGCCACGGCCAGGCAGGACTGATGGAGCCTGGCGGATGTCACCTAGTGAATGAGGTCAACAGTCATGGCCGGGCAGGACTCTGGTCAACCCTGGTTGACGTCACCTGGTAGCTGGGGTCAATAGCCATTGTCCAGCGCAGCCAGCGCTCTCCGCCCACAATGGCTGCCGTTGGCCGGAGCGCGTAAGCGACCAAGTGGAAAAATGGGCTCCCATGAAGAGACCAGAAAACTATAGGAAACATAGCCCCGACAAAACTCTCGTCATCGGTGTGCTTTCATGACATCAACAAGGGAGAGACGGGGTGCCACCCCGGGTACATCAGCCTTGAATACTATTTCCCGAAAGACGTTGTTTTTGAAAATGCTACCTTGGCTAAATTTAGCGATTTAGAGAAGAACCGGGAAGTAGTTTCATGCCACGTTTTTGTCACTACTGCTCGTCCATTTCTAATGACCATGAAGTAAAATGTCGAGAGAGCTCCCCATCAAGTTCAGTAGAAGGGGAGGAGAGGGGGGGGGGGGGGGGGGGCGCGAGTTGAGGAGGCTCGAGCTCGTCCATCTTGGCACGATCCTCCACTTTTTGGTTCCGGCAAAGCTTGTGTGCGGTCTTTAGCACCCTGCTCTGATGTGCAACGCTATGTGTCAAATCGTATGCAGAATAATGTGACCATCGTTTTTCAGATAGCACTCTATGCATGAAACGTTTTTAAATAAACAAGATGCTAAAACTGGGTTGTGAAATAGTTTGATGAGTTCAATGTGGTTACTGGTGTAAGATTGTGGGTACTCGAACGAACCAGGTCTTGTATGCCTTTCAGTGTGAAATGTTTCTTACCAGGGTGACAATGCATAAAGGAAAGTTTGGTATGCCGTTATCATCTTACTTTGAACCATTTCAACAAAGTGGCTTATGAGCCCGGCCTCACCGCCGGCCGCTCTGTCGCCCAGCCCAGGCTCAACCCCGCCGGCCAGGGGCCCGGCCTCACCACCGGCCGCTCTGTCGCCCAGCCCAGCCCCAGTACGCCGGCCTGGAGCCCGGCCTCACCGCCGGCCGCTCTGTCGCCCAGCCCAGGCTCAACCCCGCCGGCCAGGGGCCCGGCCTCACCACCGGCCGCTCTGTCTCCTTGCCCAGCCTCGACCCTGCCGACCTGGAGCCCGGCCTCACCACCGGCCGCTCTGTCGCCTTGCCCAGCCTCACCCCCACCGGCCTGGAGCCCGGCCTCACCACCGGCCGCTCTGTCGCATTGCCCAGCCTCACCCCCACCGGCCTGGAGCCCGACCTCACCCCCACCGGCCTGGAGCCCGGCCTCACCCCCACCGGCCTGGAGCCCGGTCTCACCGCATCTTTAGGCGGCGAGCCCAGCCGGTAGATGTTAACCGTATGGGCCGTCTGGAAATGCACCATCAGGTCCCAGGCGCTGCTGAAGCCCTCCTTGCAGAGGGCGCAGAGCAGCGAGGTGGACGTCCGGCTCGAGCCTGAAACGATCAGCGAATGTTAACAGCTTCGCGCGGCGGATCGCGCTTTAACGTGGCCCGCCCGGCCGTGTGCGTATGTGACACATTACCCGACCACGCTCGCCCAGGCTCGGCCCTGGCGCGTCGAGTGCAGCAGAGCGTGGACACATCGCCCGTCCCACGTTCCCAGAATTCGACTTAACTGGTTCTTCTCAGAAGACCATCTCGATCTTGACTCCCTCGTGAACAACATAGCTGCCATGACAAGTCTTTCGCACAGGGAAAAGTGTTGGATGTTCTAACCCATGCACGTAAGGTAGCGCAGATCTGCCATGCGAATCAGACAGCTTACGGTATTGACAGTGCACACGTTCGTTCTGTGCGCAACCTCGCCGACGGCTGCCGGCCGCCCAACCCGCCAGCGCAGCCGGCGGCGGCAGCGGCCGCGGTCCCGGCACAAGGCCGTACTATCCCGCTTAAGATTTCCGCCCTCCCCTAATCGACAGGCGATCCATTTGCATCACAATGCCGCGTGTTTGACGTTCGTCGAGCATCGCAACAAAGCCCGGCGGCGGGCGGCTGGGTCGACGGCGGCGCGAGCCAGCAGCGCCGCGCACTGCACAGACCGCGGCGCACCGCAGGCAAATTGAGCGCTGTCGGCCGGCGTTTCGCCGCTGCTTCCATACTTTATCACGACGCGTCGCTTCGACCGGCTAATTGCCCAGCAGCGGCCGAACATTGCCCGCGGACGCTCGGCCATGATGAATGCCTGCAGATAGGCCGCGCGCGCCGGGAGATCATTTCCGGCGCAGCGGCGGCATGTCCGGCGCGACGGCGCGCGACTTAGCGCCGCCGCGCATCGGAGGCGGCGCGTCACGACTTCGGGCCAGCAGTGGCGGTGGTCGCGGCTCTGAACGGGCCCTGGTCGACGCCGCCGGAGATGGTGGCGCCTCGGCACCGGCTGTGGTCGACCGCGGCGGGAGCGTGACTGATCACCGCGACACGGCGCCGATGAGCCCTCGTCGGCACCGACGCGTCGACGTCGGCGAGCGGACGGCGCTGGGCTCAGCGGCAGCTTACTCGGGCCGCTCCGTTACAAATGACGACGGAGCGGCGTCAGGTGGACGGGTCCCGGGAGCCGCTGTTCTCAGCCCAGGCCGCCGTCCGCCGCCGCCGATAACGAGCCGACTGGCCTCAGAGGGCAGGACCCGCCGCACGGCCGGTCGACGCCGGCCGGCCAGCCGCCGCCAACGGTCCAGTGCCGGTAACGGCCCCCGCACGGGAAATTACTAGCCGCGATTTCTCCCAGGGACGAGCCGGAGCGGCGAAATGTCCGCGGTTACAGCGCCATTACGGACGGTGATGATGTAGGACGCTATTCGCGCTGCTCTTTCAGCGTGACGCTTCGGTCCATTACCGCGAAAGCATGCCCTGACGTTTATCAGGCACTCGACAGAGCTTGTGCTGAAAGCAAACCGCTGTTTGGGAAGCTAATCAGATGAAACTAATGAGGTTAGCATGTTTGTTTGCTCTGGGTGGCTTATTTTAGATGGTCGCTTTTGCCTACTTTGCCGACGTCTTCTGGCATTTTTAATGAAAAAAACCCTTGCTAGGGTTTTGAGCTAGGCCGTATACACATTCTGTCTCATCCATAGAAACTGAAGCCGTCGTATTAGTGAAAACATTCCCAAGGAAACACATATTACCGCTGATAATTGGGAGACATGAACGGTTGTCATAGTCTTACGTCATGGCAACTAACGCCTTTTGCTAGTTGCTCACACTTTAGCTTCTACCCATAACGTCCCGTTTTGCTTCAAACTCATGTAAACATGCGTTCAACAGCGTCAAAAATGTACCCTGGGGATACTAGCACCGCTGTTTTATAACCTCATGAACCCAGGAACAAGTGCCATTTCCCGCACATCTGCATAACCAATTTAGCTATAGCCATTACTACCCGGGCCGCTTCAGAACGGCTTGAATATTCTCCACGTTTGATGCGCATCATTACTCCAAGTGGCTCGAGCTGCACACTTGGCTTAACATAACGTGTCCTTAACGCGAGTCAGCCTAACATGACGTACCCTTAATGCCAGTGCATAGCGAACGATTCCATGGACGTATAACAAAACAAAGTAAGGCACACGTACTGTTAGTAGACGTATGCTCGCCGCATTTGCAGGCGAAACGGAGTTTGCAGCAGCAGCGCTTGTGGTCCAGCATGTCCATGACATCGCCGAACATTTCCCTGCAGTTGCCGCAGATCAGAATGTCTGGACTACCTGCCGAAGTGGGAGGATTGAATTAGCACGACCACGACCGCGCGCCGGCGGGAGGCTGGACAACGGCGTGATGGCGCCGCCCAGTCGTGCCCTCTGACCCGTGCGGACTGTGACGGCCGGGTCGTGACATTTTAGCGCGCTTCGGTCGATATCAGCCGTGGTATTTAATTTGCACCCAATGTCCCGCCACTAACGTTGTTCTTGCATTGAAACTGCATTATTCATGTCGTGAAATGCTGACGGCAGGCTGCCAAGGCAAAGCTTCCCGCTCGTTTACCGATGACGTTATTTGCCAGCATAGTCATGCCATTTGGTAAGACTAAGCTGCAAGACTGAGGTGACTGCAACGCCTTCACACCTAGGGTAATGCCCACATTGCCAAAAGTAATGATGCCAATACAGAACCATCCGCGGGCCACCATATTACCCGTTCAAACGATGAAATTCGTATAATCATGGCGGTTAAAATATTTTGGTAATATTTCTCGCTTATTCATATTTCGCACATCGATAAGACAACAGTCATATCAGCGAATGGAAAACAACGCTCTATACCTCAGCTCAAGCAGGGCTTATGCGTAACTCGTGTTGATCATTTCATTCGTTGGCTCAATGTCATCTCTGCGAAGCGTTCGAACTTAAACCGCCGTCACGCGGTCCGAGGCTACTTCATTTACAACTTGGCGTTCCGCCGCTTCTAACACCACGATGTCACTACATCATCATGACGACCCGCCACCAGTATTGTGACGATTGCCGCCAGTGTTGTGACAGCATCTCCCCAGTGTTGTGACGGGCCCGGCCGGCGTGCTAACGGTTCTGGCGCCGTTGTGACGTCACTGCACCAGTGACGCATAACGATCACCACCACAGGTGTGACGTCAACGCACCAGTGACGTGTAACAGCCCCACCAGTGGTACGACGTCACCGTATCAGTGACGCGTAACAGCACCCACCACTGGTGTGATGTCACGGTACCAGTGACGTGTAACAGTTCCCGCCACTGGTGTGACACTGCTGACAATGTAGTGACACCATCACTCCAGTGTCGTAACCGTCTCTGCCAGTGTTGTGAGTGTCATGACACTAGCGGAGACCGTTACAACGCTAATCTCTCGCCCCAACAGTGTCCAGTGCCCGAGCAGTGTCTCAACAATCCCAGCCGGCGCTTAAAACCAGTGGTGCGACACTCCCGGTCAATGTCCCGACACTTCCGATCGGCGCGCCGCCTTCGCGGTCCATGTACTAACGGCTGCCGTCGCTGCAGCGTTCCCCGCCATTGTCAGGACTCAGCATCGGACGGTCGCCGGCCGTCGCCTGCCCCATGATCACTCGTGTGCTTTCTGTCGCCTGTCAGTCCGGTAACAGGACCGGGACCAGGACCAGGACCAGGACAGGCCGGCTCACTGACGCTCGGCGCGGGCCGGCTTACTGAGGTTCGGCACGACACACGTCCGCGCCGACGACAGCTTACAGCGGTCGTGGGTGTATTTAGGGGAGAGCCATTTGGTTGTAGCGCCCACGTGGGCGCCCTTGGCAGCAGGCAGTGGCGTAACGAAGGGGTAGGGCAATTTCACCGTAGCCCTCCCTTTGAGCGCCGTAGACGTCCCTGCTGGAAGTCGCGCCCGCGGTCCAGTAAGACGGCGAGGGTATCCCACTTCGATAAACACGTGATAAGCTGTACCAAGGAATGTTAATGGATCAAAGGCATTATATCCATTTGTCAGTCGTGTTGGTTAGAACCGTATATGTATGAGCACCGACCAATATGTAGGTGAGTAGGTGGGCAGGTAGACCTAGGTGCACCCTGAACGACCTTTAGTCAGCCAGTGAATAGTGCGACCTGGGAGGCCAAGGTGTGGGGCCTCCTTCGAACAATTTATGGAAGCCAAAATAAATTCATCCCAACCTTATCTACCCACCAGGCATGATGCCCCGACAAAATGTGTAAGATGACGACGCTTGCTGGACCGGCTAGTGCAGTCTAGTTTTACGGAAAGATCGAGACGAGGTATCAGTATTGTGGATGGAATAATTCTTCGCGCTATCGTCCTCGTCTTAGTATGCGTGCAGCGTTTCGGCCGGTTAACTCTTCGGCTGTCGTTACGTGTCCTCAAGACTCAGTAACACCTGCCGACGGCTGAAGAGTTAACCGGCTGCCATTGCGTGCATACTAACATGCCAGACGAGAACGATAGTCCGAACAATTATTCTGTCGTTTGTCCAGGCTCGTCTGTCCTGAGCACACACGATGTCCAGCGCTTCTGAATAGTGACCATTGCGTGCTAAATGTATCGACTCTGATCCCTTGGACTCGCCCGTGGAAGTTGAAACTATTCGTCAGCGAATGAACGGGAAAGTTGAGGACTTTGTCAGTGTGCACAGGCCTGTGCCATCATGCTGACGTGACTTATTAATTCTAAAGGGGGCTGTCAGGCGCACACGTAGCAACGACCAGGTATAGTGTCTACGTCGGACGCCTGTTATCTCCGTTATGGTGCATACAAAGGACAGAAAGCGTTTTTGAGCAGAAGTGCTAGAATTTCGGAGCACCTTGTGAGGATGTTTTTGTCGCTTCTTTTACGCCGCGCCGCTGCGCTGACGTCAAAAATTGTCATGGCCGTGAAGGCCGATGCCTCCGCAGGCCGATATCTTCGACTTTCTTGTGTTTAAAGCACAATAGATTACTAGCTGATGATATCGTAGTATGAAAGCAACTGGCAATGATCATCTACAGAAAGTACCTCGACTAGCAATGTGCAGCGGGCACACGTAGCATTACAGGTGCAATTGTGTTAATGTTATCTAGATTTGTGTTTTTATTATTTTTATCGGATGGGACGATAATCTCAGAGAACCGCAAGGTAACAGGTAACATCGGACAGAATAGAAGAGCTTGGAGAGCGGTGACATGTGATCGAGTGTAACGGACGGGGGAGGCTGGACCAGCCAGGTCCACCCGCATTAGTAGATATTTACTTATCACAATGGGTTGGTGTTCCCAGTTGCAACAGCGATCGGACGAGATCAGAATAACGTCGTCTCGCTGGAGTGCAGTTCAGGTGTGCTGGTGTGCTGGACGGCACAGCGTGAGGCAAGCACAGTCAACATGGGCTCTGCTGACAATGAACTGCATCATTCAAAGTTACTCACCGGGTCGTCATCAACAACTTTTATGTGTGAGAGCTTTGCTATTGGCTGGAGCATTAGGGTTCATGTTGGCTCATTTTCATTGCATTCACGAAGAAATCCAACAGGGGGCCTATTGTTTGATTCGGTAAATTAAAATGGTAGAATGAATGCAATATCAAAACATGACGACAACGTGACCACATTCGTGCGTTATCAGCCAACAAGTCATTTACATAACTTCGTCAAAATATAATCAATGACAAATTTGAACTATCATGGCATGGTACACAACTGCAAGCAAGCAATTTTACAACTGAGCCGTCATTGCGGGTGCGAGGGGCGGTGATGATCGGCGGCAGGCAGCTCCAGGATGGGGCCGCGCGATACGAAAATCCCTACGCGCCACCGACAGGCGAAGAGCTGGCAGACCAAGGGCGCCCGCCGCTGCCGGCCTGGGTGGCATGCTGACATACAGCGGGACGTGGGGTGAGCCTTTGTAAGACCCGGCTACCGTTACACAGCAGATCGGTCGGTCAGGTTACCTGGCAGCACGTCAGCTCAGCGTCGAAGGTCCACCTCAGGCGGATGGCAGCTAAGGACGTTACTGTGGTCGGTCTGAACAGGTATCAAACAGAGAGCATTTTCTTGTTAACAACACCCTGCAAGTGCGGCGGTTCGATTAATTGCCGGGCTGTGTCACGCAATGTGAAACTAATGGACGCGCAGCCAATAGTTTGGGCATACATCTGAAAACCAAGGTCAAAGCTCTCGCAAAATCACTGGGTGTGTTTGACTGGAACACATTTTTGCTTGAAAGGGTGAAATGATTTGAAATTTGTTTCCCTTGATTTTTTAAAACAATATATTTAGACCAGAAAGTCTTGAGCTAAGGCATGACCGCTAAGGTTAAGGAAACTCGCCCGAAAGAAACTCACTGGAAAGTAGAATGCATATTAGGGCTTGACGTCTACCGATTCAAGGCAACCTTGTTCTAACCCGCATTTTTTCTCATTTCCAAATAAGATTTCTGCAAAGATTGCGCCTAAACACAGGCCACCGGAACCCCGTCGTAGTCTGCGGTGATGCCTGCACCGCAGAACAGTATTCATACCAATGCCCCAGGGTGCAGTGTGCCAAAGCCCCAATTGCATAACTGATAATATTTTCATCGCTATGCATTGGTTGAACGTGAAACGCTGTTTCAAAGGCTCTTAACCTTTTTCTTGTTCCAAAAATCGTGACGTTGAAAACATATTTCGCGGTGCCAGTCTTCTTAAAACTGATTAATCTGAGGGCAAAATCTGTAACCAGGCTACAGGGGTCTGAATGCCGCTATCTTAATCTGGAACGAAATCAGTTGGGAAGGAAGCGAGTAAAGCGGTAATACAGGGCTATACGTGCATGCGAGTGAATAATAAAAGGTCAAGCGTATTTCGGTGGATAAAAGGCGTTTTGGCTTTTGCATTGCATAAGCGAATAATGGATAAATGCATTCAAGTGCATAACCAAGTGCAATGCAATCGAAATAACTTTGCCTGAGAGCAGCGGGGACTATTACTTGAATGATGCCGGGAGGATGGCAGTTTTTGACGTGAGGCAGACGTGTGGGGGCGTTTAGCGTCCTTTCAGCAAAAGTGGTCCATGATATTAAACCAAAAAAACACACTGTAGCAAGGCCATCACAAAAAAGAGATCAGGGATTTCTACACCGGTAACTGTTCCCGGAACACAATGCCGCAGAATCCCTGATTTTAGTGCCAGTCATGCATGAAGCGGAAACCTTAGTAGTCGTGAAACGGAAGTTAAGTGCCTGTCAGCAATAGGTTTATAGAGCATTGCTCACTACCATACAATGGCGCGACATGGTATACCCCGCTGTGACACCATTTTGTCGACTGTGCCTTGGCGCCCTTTTCTCCACATTCCCGCCAGGCCCCTAAAAAGTCTGCCACTCTCCCAATATTGACAATTTCCTCGGCCAAAACTGGTGGCTGCCTTGGCGTGACATTTGGCCGCAGGGGTAAAAAGGCCGGCCCAAGAGCCGCGGCTGCCGCTCGACTCTGATTGCTGCCGCGACAGCCGCGGCCCAGCCGTTTTTGGCGACAGGCTGTGGCGAGCTTTGCTCTTGCTCCAGCGGGGCGCGAAAACGGAAAATATCCAGCACGTCTAGATTGATTCACTAGAAACGGCTATATGCTGGTGCTTGGTGCGGTTAGGAAACGTCTATGAATGATAAGTGTGTGGCAGAACAGTACATTATAGCTCGTTTATTGATTCTTTTACATTTGTCTTGGGCTTTTGCTCTCCACGTACCGCTAATTTTTCCGTGATCTCTCCTGTCTTGAGTGCTGCCAACAGCCACAGCACTGGTCTAACAGCAGCCTGCTCTAGTGTTCCTGATTTACTACACCGTAGACTGTTCCGCACTACACTCGTGTACACGATGTGGCTTAAGCAGTCGGCGGTGGGAGTGCCATTTTCCTGAATCGGGTTTACTGATGAATCGATGAGTGGCAAATGCATTGGACATCCCCTGGTCAAAGGGCGAACCTTCCTCAACCCCACCCTTCCTGGAGGGACACGTGCCCCTCAAGTTTCCAGCAATTCTGAATTCTGACACGGGAAATATAGGGACCGTTTAAAAACAAGCATGGATGGCCCAACACATTCTGAAAGACCAGAACCATGTTCAGAAATACCCTTCTCTACCTGGGGCTAATCATTTTCTGCGCCATGTTGTGGTGGCATGCAGACGTCATTTGCCTGTCTTCAGCCTACACTGCTGACAAATAGCGAACATGGTACCATATTCAATAAAGGCGGCAAACGACGATCAGACAGGAACCACAGTCCTCAACGCACGCCGTCTGCGCCGGAGACCCAAAGAACACACTCTCCTGCGTCTCCTACCGACCAAACAGGCCCCGGCCGCTCGTGCCGGGCCGGGCCGGTGGCGTTGGCGGCGGCGGCGCGCTGCTCGGGGGCGGGGCGCGCGCCGCCAGCGGCCGGCCGTAACTCAGGCGGCCGCCGGCCGCGCCGGTCGCGCGACAGCCGAGGTCGGGGCGGACACTTTACGCCCGCGCCCGGACACCGGCACCCATCAACGTCGCCCGTACGTCTGCAATCAGGCCGCGGTCGGCTTAGCCGGCCAAACGGAAAGCCGCCAAATAAAGAAGGCCGTCCGAAATTAAGCCGTGCTCGACCGGGCCGTTACGTGGCGGCGGGTTTAGAGGCAGAGAACGGCCGCTGTGTTCCGTCCTCTAAGCGACCGGAAAACGGACGGCACGTCTCGACTCGCGGGACGCTGATGGGGTAGCAACTGACCTCACCCCAGTGAAGGTAAAATAAATTTGTTTGCGCTATCGCATGGGAGGGAAAGAGCAGATTAAAAGAGCAATTTGTCGCACATTTAATAACGCTGCAAAACAGTCGGTATTAATGTGTCTTTTAACGCAGCTAACTTCTTCAGAGTTAGCTTCCAGCATTATGTGTATTAACATTTGATGTCGACTCATCGAGTTCTCCCGCCGCGGTGCAATAGGAAGTCGTGTGCATAGAATGTACATGTCAGAATTCATGCATGGTTATATACACGGACAGCATAGTGTGTCGAAATTGGCCCCTTTCTGAACATGGGACATTTGGACAGTGGAGAAAGAAAACATGAACACGGTGTGAAAAGTTTGAATAGCGTGCAAAACACGGCAAACCCAATGCGCTATTCAGCCCCACCGATGACCATTTGTCCGCCACGCTGGCACCGAACGTAACCAACTGAACGCAATCGGCAATGCGCTCTTGAATGTATGTGGTTACATAGGTAAACCACAGACAAGTTTATCAACATGTCCGGGCGCGATAACGGCGTACCACCGGCAGCTGATGCGGGCCGGCACTGGGAAGGGCCGGAGAGCTCTGAGCAGCCCTGGAGAGCTTCGGGACTGCTGGTGAATCAGGATCGCAATGAGGGTCGCCGGTGCCCAAAGTAAGCCCACCATCGGACACTGAAACTGTGTCAGCTGGACGGAAGCAGGACGCAATGCTCGGTAACCAAAGTTTGTTTTGATGTACGAGCTTCTGTCACCAACGACGGCGTGCACAAAAATACAAATGGAGAGGGGTTTTGTTTGATGTCTTAAAGACACAGCTATAAGTATCGTATTTCTTTCCTTTTCCTTTCTTTTTTATTTCTTTTATTACGTTATTTCAGTTAGATGCGCTGCTTTAAGTGTTAAGGAGATGATTTACTGCATTTTTTGGTTTATATATCATACTTTAAACAACATTTATTTCTGCTGACTTATCCCTAAACTGTTACTTGACAGTCAGCCATTGGTATGTAGATCAATACTGTGGTATACTGTGGGAGATCAATACTGTGGTATGCTGTGGTAGATCAATACTGTGGTATACTGTGGTTGATCAATACTGTGGTATACTGTGGTAGATCAATACTGTGGTATACTGAATCATAACGAGGCAGCTGTAATTCTATGAAAGTACTGGCGTGATGCATGGTTGGCTTACGTCACGTCCACATACAACTGGGACCAAACAAGGGGTGGTGATATCACATTTATCGCAGCGCTTCCACACCAAGTGGCGGGCAGATAGACTCAGGAGAGGTAAGCGAAGAGCAGGTGAATCAGCGCACCTGCAGCCGTACCCGTAGCTTCAGACGACAACGACACCGAAAAATGTGTCGCGCACTGACTACAACTGCGACCATTGCATGACTGTAGACGAGTGAAGTGTTGCGATTCATTCTGTTTGCTCTGTATTGAAGCGACAGGGCATCGCAAAGCATGCGAAAGACAGCAATATTCTCTCAGCCAGCCCTGTGTTTTGAAACTGCCGTCTTGCCGACAAAAGCGGACGCGTGAGTTTACTTGCAGAAATATCACCCGGATATGTGGGGAGGTCTCGAAAAACGAGAGTATTCCCTCAAGCGGGCGATTCGACCTCTACGAGCCTCGATCTCTGCAGTCAAGGCTATCCAGATGCTTCCGATTGTAGCCCGGCGACGAGTCGAGCGTTTGGTGAATTTTTCCACGCACTAAGGGCTTTCTTTCTGCAAACACTGTAAGCCTTTCGAGCCTTCTCATCCTTATGTGGCCAGAATGACCGCCTATATGTCAGCCTGTGGGAAAGATACTGGACCCGTTTTACAGCGCCAATGTATATGAGCCCCCGAGCGGGTGACAAAAGGTCAGTTGGCAACTGACGTGTGCGAATTGATCTATGCCCGGGGTGGCCATGCTCATCTCTGTGCATAATACAAACCACCCGTGAGCCGCGCGGCACAGCTTGGAGGGTGGGCTCGGGATAAACAGAGCATACTTCGCATAGCATATGAGTATGAACCCAATGCCACACTCGTACAGGCAGTTCGAAACAAGTGTTAAAATATGATAGCTCTATGATATCGATATTTGCGGGCAGGTATATGGGTCATATTTATGTCAAGTGCGTGCCCGGAAGAACTGAGCTGGGACGGCTCACTTAACCCCGTTAATAGCTTCATGTTTTACTCTGAACCGTTGACTCATTCACAATGTCTAATGGCCTAGTTATGCCTCACGTTTCATACCATGTGTTGCCCTCTGTCCCCTTGACATGTTCACTTCTCCCCAAATGTACACCTTTCGTCTTTATGTATGTGATTCGTCTGAAAAGCGAAGCACACAACAGGCGACACCCTCTCTTTTGCGCGACTTTCTTTTTCGCGCAATACTTCTAGCATATTTTAGAAGTGGCCAAAGCCTCGCCACCCTACCCTGCGGCTAACATTCTACACACGTGTGTTTGCATGCGTATCTACATCTGCAAATTATTTAAGGTACGAGCGTCTCTTACACATACAGGCGTGTGCACATAACATGTGCTCTTGTGTAGGTAACATGTGCTCTTATGTACGCTGATATAAGTAGGGAGCGCATTCCGTCCGAGCGAAGCAGCCCGCAACTCACTGTACGTCTTCAAGTCGTCGAGGCAGAAGGTGCCCTGCACCTTGCGCGCCGCCGGTGCTGGCGCCGACGCCGGCGCCGGGGAGGGTGACTGGCCGGCGCCGCTCGCCGGCGAGCCGACGGGCGCCGTCGGCGGCGGCACGATCACACGCGCTCGCTTCATCGGCGGCGACGCGGCCGCCAGCCGCACCGCCGCCGCCGCCGTGAACGGGTTGGCCGCCGCTGCCGCGTAGTACCTGCGGAACAGAACGCCAGCGGGTCAGAAGGTGGCGGTCGGCCCGCCGGTGGACCTGGCTGCCTCGAGACGGGGGAGACGGACGTGGTTCGATGCTTGCTGGTGTGGTCTGCTGCCGTTCAGGGTCTGCACTGTCGAGGCGCCTCTGTGTTCCCACGGGAAAAAGGCAACGCAATACACACCGGAGTCAGCGACTAATCACAGGGAATTGTGGGTTCAGCCATCACCAACGTTTGACATCTGGAGTCAGGTCATCGTTGATAAATGATTGCTGGCTGTTGTAAATTTATTTGGCGCCGCGGAATATCTGGGGATGACAGGCGGTAATGCCTCAGCATTAATGACTGATCGCTAGGCGTCTCGGCCGCATGCACCAGACACCTGGGCAGGAATTCGAGGCCCGTCAAAAGGCGAGCTGTCACGGCCGCATGCACCAGACACCTGAGCAGGAATTCGAGGCGAGGCGAGGTCAAAAGGCCAGCTGTCACGGCCGCATGCACCAGACACCTGAGCAGGAATTCGAGGCGAGGCGAGGCGAGGTCAAAAGGCGAGCTGTCACGGCCGCGTGCACCAGACACCTGGGCAGGAATTCGAGGCGAGGCGAGGTCAAAAGGCGAGCTGTCACGGCCGCGTGCACCAGACACCTGGGCAGGAATTCGAGGCGAGGCGAGGCGAGGTCAAAAGGCGAGCTGTCACGGCCCGCGTGCACCAGACACCTGGGCAGGAATTCGAGGCGAGGCGAGGCCAAAAGGCGAGCTGTCACGGCCCGCGTGCACCAGACACCTGGGCAGGAATTCGAGGCGAGGCGAGGCGAGGTCAAAAGGCGAGCTGTCACGGCCGCGTGCACCAGACACCTGGGCAGGAATTCGAGGCGAGGCGAGGCGAGGTCAAAAGGCGAGCTGTCACGGCCGCGTGCACCAGACACCTGGGCAGGAATTCGAGGCGAGGCGAGGTCAAAAGGCGAGCTGTCACGGCCGCGTGCACCAGACACCTGGGCAGGAATTCGAGGCGAGGCGAGGCGAGGTCAAAAGGCGAGCTGTCACGGCCGCGTGCACCAGACACCTGGGCAGGAATTCGAGGCGAGGCGAGGCGAGGTCAAAAGGCGAGCTGTCACGGCCGCGTGCACCAGACACCTGGGCAGGAATTCGAGGCGAGGCGAGGCGAGGTCAAAAGGCGAGCTGTCACGGCGAGGGCTCTCATTAACGCTGGTTGAGTTGATGATCATGGGCTGTATTGGCGTCATCGCGTTAGGCACAGATCCAAGTCACCTGAGCGCATCGGAGTTTATAGTTGGCGGTTTGAATTAAGGTACATCTTAATTATTTGCCAGTCTATCGCTGTCTACAAAACATTATTCAGCGTAGGTCTTCGGAGAGTTGTTGATAGTTTTATACGCTAACCTGCGTGGGTAGGCCTTTTCCCGAGAACTTAAGTCTCAATTTTCTCAGTTGAAAATACTACCGTGATCCAACTAGCGTTTCCAGTATGCGGCGGATGCTTACAATAATTTCAATCCTATTTAGTTCTGCGTTTTGCCGTCGTGTGTTACTTATTTGCTAAGTAGGCAACCATATTTGATGAATGTTGAGTTTATGTATTCCTGCATAAAATCTTGTTTGAATGTCTGAGATTCAAAATGTATTTCTTTTTTGCGTGGGTAATGTCTCTCTGTCCAAATGACACAAGCTTTATTTTTATCTAAGTCATATCTAGCTGGACAACTATTGAAATTAAAGCTGCTTCCTTTGGATCTATTCCAGTTTTAAATTGGTTCGCAGATAAAATACATACAGATAGCTTAAAATCATATGGTTTTGCTCGCAACTAGAGCATAAAGGCAATCCGACAGACATTGCTAGCTTGAGGTATTACCGAGTCCTGAGCAAACTCAAATTCTGGCAGCATTGATATAAAAGGTAAACACCTTGGTTTTCAACCATTAAATCGAAGGTGAAATGTTAGTTGGTGTTTTTCTGTTGGACACCTATGCATAAACCATGTCGTCTGAGCTTTTAGTCCGGAAGGAAGCCTTCTGTGCCGTCTTTTGAGACATGAGTTGACACTAAGAATTACGGCCACATGTACAGTGTTGCGGAATGTGTGCGGTAATGTAGAAATATCTCATCTTGATCACAAAATAAGTCTTCCAGCCATTCCAGCTCTTGTAATATTTTTCTTGAAGCGATCACGCAGCCGAGATGTGACTCTCTGCGGCTTATCTGCGTGTCTACTGATTCCTTATATGATGGAATGCATAGTAGGTGCGGATGTAAATGCATCTTCAAAAAGTGGCGGCTTTTTCAAAAATGTTACCAACTTGGATTTATGTAGAAATGATCATTTGACTGCGTGAGCATTGCGGACAATGCTGCAGCCCAAGCATCTCGTGGCGGTCGAAAAATACCCCGCATCAAGTTTTTTGTTCAGTTCATATCAGGAGATAAGCTTCCTAATCAGTTGCGGGGGGGGGGGGGAGTCGAGCCGCCCAAATTTGAGGGGATTAGGTGAAGTCTGTTTTAGTGTGTTCGGGGTCAGCTTTTCAGACATTTTTCTTTCCCCGTCCCCTCTATTCTAATTTGCGAAACTACACCCCTGATTCACATTTATGACCATGCCACACGCTGTGAAACATGGAGCTTTACAACCAACAATGAGCATAGTTCATACCCGACTGTGCGTCAAATTAGCAAATAGGCTTCAGCACAGCCAACATTCGAGCACTTCCACGACGGTTATTTATGAACTGGAGCCGGCCTAATGGGACTCGTACTGTTCGCGAACACCCATACTGTCGAGATATGCTCCACTCAGTTCTTCAACTCCTCCCTGCTGTGACCATCCGTCGAACACCACCAGCGTAGCCGTGGACAGCCATTAACTTGGTGAAAACCATCTCTCCCCTGAAAGCCTTTCAAAGCGTCAGCACGAGTGAGGCATTCGAGGTGAGATAACTATATTTAGCTCATTGCTCTGCGCGGCAGCAGCCGTGATCCATCACCTCCGCGAACGGCCCGTCCAAGCGGACCTTTCACGAACGCCAGCAGGATTTCCGCCGGCGCTAACCTCATCCGCAGGCGAAGGTACGGGGCAGGACAGGGGGCGTCGACTCCGATAAACCCGATACTACGCTAACTGAAGGCGTGGGAACGCTGCCATTTGGCGCCGCTCCGCCGCCGTGTCCGTGTGTGTCTGTGTGTGACTTGAGCAGACGCAGCCACCGACCTGGCGGACACGAGGCTAGCATGGGCTGATGCAGCTACTGACCTGGCGTACACGAGGCCAAGATCGACTAACGCAGGGATGGCAGGTGTGCTGCCTACCGTTTGAAACGCAGGAGGCATGTGTACTACAAGACGCAGGACGTGTGTGCGCTACAGGACACAGGACGTATGTGTGTTACGAGGCACGGGGGCGCATGTGTAATACAAGACGCAGGACGTATGTGTGTTACAAGACGCGGGACGTAAGTACCGAATGACCCCATCTGCCGTAAATGCACAGTTTTGTGCAGTCGGTTTGAGTACATATCTACTTCACAAACGCCGCTGATCATCATTGTGCGGCACGGAGGGTTCCGCGAGTCCCTGCTGGCACGCGAATAGCGTGGCGTCGTTCCACTCACCATTTCAGGTCAAAGGCCATAGCACGAAGCGATCTTTCAATTCGTTCGGCGCGTCATGCGCCCTGCATGGAAAGAGCAACGGCGCCGTTCAGCAGCAGCAGTTCAACTGCGGGGATCTCCGGGGAGTGGCGCCCACAGGTCACGGCTGACCGTACAGAATGCCACGGTCGGCTCTCCCGTCCCCCGACGGACGCTTTCCTGGTGGGCGCACATCGACCCGTCATCTGCTGCGAGCCGCGTCGCCTTCGTCTCGCCGCCAGCCTGACCTCATCCGACCCTCCCATGGGACCCTCATCGACTGGGGCGGGCCCGCGGGGCCAGCCGCCGACGGGCGGCGGAAGGGACTCCCCTCCCAGGACGACCCGCGAGACCAACCCTTCACGAGGCGGCGGGCAGCAGCGCCTCCCCCGGGACCAGCCCATCGCAGGCCGTCCGCGCGGCGAACCGAAATGGTTACGTCTGGCAGACGCTGACTATCGCGCGGTTCATCACAGTACTCGTTCCCGGTGAACGTAGGTCAGAATGCATCAGGGCAGGCAAAGCTGCATCTCTCATGCCGTATTTCGTATGTGGTAGTTAAATTGCGGCGCGTTTAACTTTCATCACCAAATTCCGTCGCTGACCTGCAAACGCGCGATCGGATGGTTGATGGCCGCGACTCACACTAGAAACTGCGGCAAGCGTAGCCTCCGATTCCAGAAATTCATCTGTTTGAAAGGTATGGATTAAATCTTTATAAATATGTTAGGCAAAGAGGGTATGTATCTATACATTTGACAACGTTCAGAGGGATGACACGACACTAGCTCGAACTTGACCAGATGTTAAACAGTCAGCAGACGCATGCTTTCCGAGGTGGGTGAGTTGTTGCCAGAAGCTTCCTCTTCCGAAAGCAAATTGTCTGTACCTGAGGAGCGGACACGTCACGAGACCCGACCCACGAAAGAAAACAAATCGCCAAATCTCATCCCAAAGGAAATCGCTATCAGTTACCGCTATAGCCCAGCCGGGCGTCAACGCCGTGGCCGGTCACTGGCTGGCAGGGGCCTGAATCGCCCCGGCGAACCGGGCGCGCGGCGGCCGGCAGCCGTCACCGCCAGAGTGGACCGACGGAGCGGGCTCGGCGTGGCGGCGAGGGTGCAGCCGCCGCCCCGCCGCAGCCGTCACCGTCCGCCCGGCCACCGACAGAGCGTGCCTGTGTTTGCCGCCGCCGGCCGGCTCCCTCTGCGGCGGTGGCAGATCTAATTAATTGGCGTAGTGATTGCCGCCGGCCAGATTGGAGACGGCATCGCTGGCGACGCCGGTA